TGGAGGCTAGAGAGGTGAGCAGAGTAGCCTGATTCCCCGTTTGGATGTCTCTGTTGACATCCACCCCTTATGCAGTTGTGAGCGCTGTAAAAACCTCTATTAAAACAATACCTGAAATACAGTAGTCCTTGTTGGGTGGTTGGCGGGTGCTCTGGTGTGGTTAGCTTCTTCTTTCCTATCAAACATCTATCGTCCTTTTCTCCCCTCCCTCTTTTTTATGTTTGTTACTCTCTTGTAACACTTCTAATCTTTCTTCTGGCGCTCATATGACCTTATGCAGTTGTGAACGCCGTAAAGCCTCTACTAAAACTAATGTGTATCTAATCTTCTGGCGCTTATTATGCAGTTGCGAGCGCCACAAAACCTCTATTAAATCAATACCCGGAATACAGTAGCCCTTGTTGTACCTGTTTTGGTTTTGCACTGTGGCCAGGTTGCCCTTGGGAATATAGAGAAGCTGAAGCTGGCGGAGACAGCGTTGAAGGAAGCGACCATGTCGGACGAGGAGATAGCCAACCTGTCGCAGCGACACGAGAGACAGCGGAGGTTGTCTTCCTCCTCTCTGCCAGCCTTGGAGGTAGGAGGCCCTTTGTGAGGCAGCGCGGTGAAATTAGGCGCTCGTCAAGACAAGGACATTTTTTTAAAGAAGGATATTTCTGGGTGTTGGGCAATTTTTTTTCTTCTAAATTTTCTCTTTTTTGGCTGAACACCTTTTATGTCCTTTCAAAAACACATTTATGTGTGGATGCTTCCCAAAAATGTTGATTAAAGGCATAAAAAAATGTATATTTTCAGTTTCCAACGACACTCAAGATTTTGGAAGTTACCAAACTTTGGTGTCCATTTTCTTCCTAATTTTACCTCTCCCATCCAGCAACCTCTATCTCCTTCAATCACAAATATCTCGACTTCTAGTCATGATAGATGGGTACTTTTATGGGGGTCAAATGCAAGACAAATAAACAAGCTTTAAGATGATATTAATAACTCTTTATGCCCATATATTGATGAGCGCCTGATTCCACCGCGTCGCGACACATTTCTTTCTTCTTTTTTTTTCTTAACCATTACAAGTCTTAGAAACCACCTTTTGAATCTCACCCTTACCTTCTCTTCCATCCTCATTTTTACCCTCTTTCTTCTTGTCATGCCACGATCATTCAACCCATTCTTGATTAAATGAATATTGTGGGTGGTTGGCGGGTGCTCTGGTATGGTTTTCTCCTTCTTTCCTATCAAACATCTATCATCCTTATCTCTCCTCCTTCTTTTTTTGTGTTTCTTACTCTGTTGTAACCCCTCTAAAATTTGGCACTTATATTACCTTATCGTGCTACAAGTGCATAAAACTCTTACTGTAACTAAACTAAAGTATATTGTGCCTGTTTTCCTGTGATACAGTCAATCAGATACAGCTGAAGCTAAATTGACCTTCCTTTCCACCCACTACTCTACACATTATCATCCAGGCAAACTTCATCACTATCTACTTATTGGCACTTAAATGACCAAAACTGAGTCGATAGTGCCGCTAAAGACCTACTCAATCAATCAGTCATCATTGTCTTGTTTATCCTCATTGCTTTTGTCATCTTCTCTTTGCTTTCATCACTGTAATCTTTTTCTCTATTTAAGGACATTGAGCGAACAATGAACAATCTGTTGTAGTGGGTGGTTGGCCGGTGCTCTGGTGTGCTTTGCACCTCCTTTCCTATCAAACATCTATTGCCCTTATCTTTTCTCCTTTTATATGTGTATTCTCAAGTAGTAAAACCTCTAATCTTGGGCACTTGTATGATAATCTGTTTGTATTGCAAGTGCTGTAAAGCGTCTTTTAATACGAAACTTTCCTTTCATCATCACATCCACTTTCTCCTTTTTTAGAGCGTTACGTTCTTAGTGGAATGCTCCTTCTCTTTCTTTGCCGTGATCTACTCATTCAAATCTGTTCCATGTAAACTGCTAATTTGTTGAAAACTTCGATTGACTTCTATTGTCTTCCCTGTGCAGTCTTTCCCCTTTAAAAAAAAAATATTTTCAAAGACATAGACATAATTGGTTAGAATTGGTTTGGTTCTTTGGG